TACAGTTTGCTGACTTTTCGTTGTCTATGATTCCTACATATTTATGTTCGACTGTTTGTGAACAGGATCAAAAAAAATGCAAAACATACGATTCTGTTACCTACTGTAAAGATCTCAATGATGTTTGGAACGCGTGTCCATTTTAACGAGCTAAATACACTTTGGTCGATGATTCAGCGGAAAAAATGATTTATAATCCGGTAAGTTGCATTTATGCAATATGTTTTTTCCAGTTGAACAGGTGTTCAGACATTGATGATCCAAACAACTTATGTGTTTATATAGAAATACAATTACATATGTCCACATACCTTTGACGCTGCTTCCCATTCGAACGACAAAGCTCTAGGTATGACACAAATTTATTCATGCTTATGCGAATTTAATTTAATTTATTGTTAGTAAAATTGCACCTCATTAGTTTGATAATTGAAATTATTTATGTATGTCCTCAGAAAAAGGCGGAAACATACGAGAGTATTTGGAAAATTTGTTGAAGGCCTCTAATGTTCCGGACTTCGTTAGAAACAACCCTTTTCCATCGGATTAATTTTGTTTGTCGGTACATTATTTAAACATTCTTGTGTATTTATATTTTGGTGTGATGAAATGGTGTGTATATTTTCATTAATTATTCCATATTTGCTTCTATGTGTACATATACATTTGAGTGTCTATACTTTTTTAATATATTGTAAAGTATCTATCCTTTTTATAAAAGTCTATACTTTTTCCACTGTGGAAAACATTAATTTAAGGTTATCTTTTGAGTGAGTTTTAAGATATTAATTTAGTAATTATAGGCGTCTAATGATTTATTTTTTACGTTACGGTATATTATTATTAAATTAAAAATTCTTAATATTATTTTATAAAATATCAAAACAATCAACTAATTTTTTGTGCAAATGAAATTAAATTAATATTGTAGGTGGAAAACATGAAACATACTTAAAAAATATTGAAACATAAATTACATATCTTTAAAAAAGTATCGATCCTTTTATAAAAAGTATGGACACTTTCAACATATTATAATAAAATAGGTAAATTTGCAATATAACCGGTATAAATATACCGGTTTTATGCGCGAATAGGTCTACAACCTATATCGACACTTTTTAATATTGTGTCGGTACTTTATGTCCATATTGGAAGAAAAATGTGTCGATACGATTTAAAAAAGTGTCGACATTTACACATCGGAACCCATAATTATAATAAATAGGTAAATTTGCAATATAACCGGTATAAATATACCGGTTTTATGCGCGAATAGGTCTACAACCTATATCAACACTTTTTAATATTGTGTCGGTACTTTATGTCCATATTGGAAGAAAAATGTGTCGATACGATTTAAAAAAGTGTCGACATTTACACATCGGAACCCGTAATTATAATGTAATAGATAATTTTGTAATATAACAGGTATAAATATACCGGTTGTATGAGCGAATAGGTCTACAACCTATATCGACACTTTTTAATATTGTGTCGGTACTTTATGTCCATATTGGAAGAAAAATGTGTCGATACGATTTAAAAAGTGTCGACATTTACACATCGGAACCCATAATTATAATAAAATAGGTAAATTTGCAATATAACCGGTATAAATATACCGGTTTTATGCGCGAATAGGTCTACAACCTATATCGACACTTTTTAATATTGTGTCGGTACTTTATGTCCATATTGGAAGAAAAATGTGTCGATACGATTTAAAAAAGTGTCGACATTTACACATCGGAACCCATAATTATAATGTAATATAATTTTGTAATATAAAAGGTATAAATATACCGGTTGTATGAGCGAATAGGTCTACAACCTATATCGACACTTTTTAATATTGTGTCGGTACTTTATGTCCATATTGGAAGAAAAATGTGTCGATACGATTTAAAAAAGTGTCGATTTACACATCGGAACCCATAATTATAATGTAATAGATAATTTTGTAATATAACAGGTATAAATATACCGGTTTTATGAGCGAATAGGTCTACAACCTATATCGACACTTTTTAATATTGTGTCGGTACTTTATGTCCATATTGGAAGAAAATGTGTCGATACGATTTAAAAAAGTGTCGACATTTACACATCGGAACCCATAATTATAATAAAATAGGTAAATTTGCAATATAACCGGTATAATATACCGGTTTTGCGCGAATATGTCTACAACCTAAAATGTGTCGATACCATTTAAAAAAGTGTCGGTAATTTTAAGTAACGCGGTTTTTCTTCCTTCATTCAAAATATTTATATATACATACAATAGGAGTCATGTACTTACGATATATTATATGGAGATCGTTGCATTCCATTCCGTCTTCGAAAAAATCAGTTTGATGTAGGCTGTGTGCTTGTACTCAAACTGAGCTTGACTTGAGGACATGTTAGTTTGTTATGCCCCTCACCGTTGCAGTACCCACATCGCCTAATTTTCTTCTCGACCTTGTTCTTCGGCACTTCTTTTCGCTTGCGTTGTTTTCGTTGAGGGTCACGTACATTGTTTACTACAATGCTCTAGTTGACTGAATGATTCAAACCAAAAGAGTTTTCTAATTCTTCTATTAGTTTTTTCATCTCATCTCTTGCGGTTTTGAAAGACTCGTCTGTCTTTGATGCAATGTAGCATAACCTACTTGACGTTGAACGTAGAGCAGCTAACCTTGCCATTTGCATCACTTCTGGAGACACATTCAAATCAACATAGCTGGGTGCAGAAGCCTTCGCATCATTAGTCCACCTACTTTGAATCAAAGTCCCGGGCAAATATGTGTAGTCCAATTGCTTCAAAATGTGAAGTTGATGGCGACACGGAAGTCCAACGGTCTCGAATTTTTGCAGAAGCAAATTAGAGTTTTCGTACGAGAATCAAAACTAATTTCAAATTTCCTATTTTTTTCTGCGTACTTTGACAAAATATAATGTTGACATTCATCTGATAAGGACTTAATCTCTGCCTCAATCCGGTACAATGTCTCCCGTATAAGTTCATCTTGGAACAGACGAAAAGATTCGCGGGTAAAAATCGCAGCGGCATGGCTTTCAAGGTCGACCAGTTTTGTGATCTGAAGGGCTTAGTATGGGAACTTAAGTAATCCGCTTTCAACTCGTTCATACGCATTCTACTAATTCCATCTTCAATTGCACGAACAACATCTAAATATGTCTTCTTGTGTTTCAGTGCAATAGCTAGTGAAGCATTCATAGACTCGCACCTTTGTGTTGAGCGAATATTGGCAAAGAAATGACCGTTAGATATGCTTGTGCCCATAAGTGTCGTGTATTTCCCTTCTCAATCACCCATGGATGCTTGTGGACGTTGAATTCTGAAACAATCGAACGCCATTGAATATCAAATTCCTTGGTTGTCCACCAGGAAGCCATGCATTTTGAGAATGCTGCTGTAAACTTTGGGTCACCAATGTTAGCTTGTGCATTGCGAGAAAGATGCCAAGAACATAATCTGTGCTTAGCATAAGGGATAACAGATTGATAGCCCTCTGCATTGCCCTATCCCATCGGTTACAACAGAAATAGGTGATTTTCATCATGGCTTCTAAAAAATTATGTAGCACCCACTCGAAAGATTGAGACGTCTCGTCAGCGATTATGGCAGTGGCAAACACAATTGTGTTATGGTGATGATTGACACCAACAATAGGCACAATTGGTCGACCATACAAATTATCTTTGTACGTTGTGTCGAACGCAATTACATCACCGAAGCATGTGTAATCCGATCTCGATGTAGAATCCGACCAAATAAGATTATACAATGCCCCCGATTCGTCTACCGAGTATGTCATAAAAAACTCGGGATCATCATGTTCTTATAATCAAAGTAGGCAATAAGCGCATTCACATCCCCATCGACGATTTCCTTTGCTTTACCTCTTTGAAGTGCATTGTAGAGGTCTTTATGTGTAAATCCAACATTATGATAGCCCCTGCTGCTGCGTTAAATAGTTCATTACTTGTGACGTGCCAACACCGACCTCTTTCAATGTTGTTGCCTCATCGATATCAGCCTTACTTACAGCTCTATTAGAACGCATAAATGGTGTCATAGCAGATGTGCACAATGCATGATTATGTTTCTGATCAGACTTACTTATAACCCACTGATCGTTTGTATTTGTTGCTGTAACTACGACTCTAGCCTTACATCCTGTTCTTGTGACTGGCGTATGAGCACGTTGGCGATCAACAGTATTGACTTTTGATACTTGAAACCCTTCTTTGGAACAACAAAATTCTGTGTCTTCACATCCCTTCCACGTCAAGCCGTGTGTTCCCTTACGTGCACTAAACCCATGTTCCCGTGCGAATCCCTTGTAAAAGTGCCAAGCTTGATCATGTGAACAGAAGAGCTGACCAACCAATCTGTCAGATTCATCAACATTATGTACTTCATGGCATTCCTCGGTTGGCTTAACATTGTCTACATCAGTATTATCCATGGCAAAAATTTGTTGTGCAAGTTCAGTGCTCCAGGAGTTGATGGAGATGTAAGCAAAGGTTCATTTGAATATGTTTCAGTCGTGCTGCTTTCACTATGATGTGGCATGGTAGTGGTAGTTAAAGGGGGTACAACATTAAATTCGCAGTACATATTTAGGTATGTACAATAACTACAAGTATATAATGTAATAGGTATCGTTTATATAATGTAATAGGTAGCGCTTATATAATATTGTAAAGTATCTATCCTTTTTATAAAAGTGTCCATACTTTTTTCACTGTGGAAAACATTAATTTAAGGTTATCTTTTGAGTGAGTTTTAAGATATTAATTTAGTAATTATAGGCGTCTAAGATTTTTTTTTACGTTACGATATATATTATTATTAAATTAAAAATTCTAAAATATTTTATAAAATATCAAAACAATCAAATAATTTTTTGTGCAAATAAAATTATTACATCAAATTACTTTATTCCAACCATGTGACAAGTGTGACAACTCCATCAACTCACAACTCAGCTTTGAACTCAATCAATATTGTCTTTTAGCTTGATGGTTCATAAAGCATGTTACTTGAACAGTATGAATAAATTATGCAATTTTCATGTTCAATTTAACAACGCATTTCAAATTCATTTCATATGTAATTGGAGTTTGAATTTAAATTTCAATTTGAGTTTGAATTTCAATATATATTTCGGCTCCACTATAAATATTAGCCCAAGCCAATATGCATGTTATCATTGATTATTCCTAATTTCCATTGTTTTTTCTAACGTTTAAACGCGAGGGAAATCCAGACCATTGTATTTTTTGGTCAACTTTAAAGCGTCAGAAACGTTTCGGGCGTATGATCTGGGTGGTAAACAAATAGCAACTAAAATCTAAGTCCGAAATGCTTCTGAGTACCACCCAAATCATAAGTCTGAAATACTTCCGATGCTCATCAAAATCCAAAGCTCATATGGTGCCAAGCAAAAGGAAATCAAAATTCAAATCTCATATGATGCCAAGCAAAAGGAAATCAAAATCTACAACTGATTTTGAACATTGATATGATATGTTCAGTTGTTATCATGTTGGGATTTTCTCGTTTTTGATTGCTTGGATAGTTGTTCTCTTGCTTCTTCAAGTGTCCTTAGCTTGTAATTTATAGCTTGGAATGTGTTGATGTTGTATATATTATTATTAAATTAAAAACAATAAACATATATTACATATTTATTATTATCTTTGGTTAATGTTGTTAAATTAAAATTCTAAATAATATTTTATAAAATATCAAAAAATCAAATAATTTTTTGTGCAAATGAAATTATTAAATTAATATTGTAGGTGAAAACATGAAACACTATTAAAAAAATTGAAACATAAATTACATAACTTTAAAAGAAGTATCGATCCTTTTTATAAAAGGTATGGACACTTTCAATATAATAGGTAAAATATGATGTAATAGGTAGCGCTTATATAATGTAATAGGTATCGTTTATATAATGTAATAGGTAGTTGTTATATTGTAAAGTGTCTATCCTTTTTATAAAAGTGTCCATACTTTTTTCACTGTGGAAAACATTAATTTAAGGTTATCTTTTGAGTGAGTTTTAAGATTTTAATTTAGTAATTATAGGCGTCTAATGATTTATTTTTTACGTTACGATATATATTTAATGTTGTTAAATTAAAAATTCTAAATAATTTTATAAAATATCAAAAAATCAAATAATTTTTTGTGCAAATGAAATTATTAAATTAATATTGTAGGTGGAAAACATGAAACACTATTAAAAAAAATTGAAACATAAATTACATAACTTAAAAGAAGTATCGATCCTTTTATAAAAAGTATGGACACTTTAAATATAATAGGTAAAAATATGATGTAATAGGTAGCGCTTATATAATGTAATAGGTATCGTTTATATAATGTAATAGGTAGTGGTTATATTGTAAAGTGTCTATCCTTTTTATAAAAGTGTCCATACTTTTTTCACTGTTGAAAACATTAATTTAAGGTTATATTTTGAGTGAGTTTTAAGATTTTAATTTAGTAATTATAGGCGTCTAATGATTTATTTTACGTTACGATATATATTATTATTAAATTAAAAATTCTAAATAATATTTTATAAAATATCAAATAATCAAATAATTTTTTGTGCAAATGAAATTATTAAATTAATATTGTAGGTGGAAAACATGAAACACTATTCAAAAAATTGAAACATAAATTACATAACTTTAAAAGAAGTATCGATCCTTTTTATAAAAATTATGGACACTTTCAACATATTATAATAAAATAGGTAAATTTGCAATATAACCGGTATAAATATACCGGTTTACTTATAAATTAGGTAATATAAGCACTACCTATTACATTATATAAGCGCTACCTAGTATGTTATTGTACTTTATAATATTTCCGGTTAAATAATATAACATAACCGGTATAAATTTTAACCGGTCACTTGTTTAACCGGTCACGCCGTATATTAACCGTTTTTTAGGCGCCGCACCGCAGAACTACCCTCAAAATTTATGTAACATGAAATTGTTCAAAATAAACATGATCAAAATAATCAAAGTTTAGAAGAAGAGGACAAAACGACAACAGGTGTGTTTCTTTGTTGGTACCAAGTAACGTTTTTGAAACTTTGATTCCGGCGTGAAAATGTTTCCATAAATTGCATGCAAAGAGAAAACCCTCCTAAAAGCCGTATATACTGCAGTGTTATTCCATAGCCGTATGTTTTCACTCTCTCAATCCACCTCCCCCTATTTCTCTTTTTTCTTTTAAAACCAAAGGGTTTGTTTTAGGATAACTCTTTCTTCAATTTAAATTTTCCTTTCTTTATCTTCCCGTTTCTTATTATAATTCCTGTGCTTTTTTTAAAAAAAAAACTTAAAAAACTCTCTGTCTTCCTCTTGTTGTTGTTCTCGTTATTCTTTTTCTTCCCCTCCCCCCCCCCCTGATGGAGTCTAAAATGCCGTTTTCGTCTCCGATTTCACCGTCACTGGAAAGTTATTCAGGACCTCCCTTTGCAGGAAGAACGGTACAAAAGAACCCTTTTGATCAAACCCTAGAATCCGAGTTTTCTCGTCTTAATTTGTCAATTCACCAAAATGAAGACACAGGCCATCCGGGTAATTTTGGTGGTGAATTATTGGTCGGATCCGGGTACCGGTTTGGCGGCGGGTTTGCAAGAACAGGGCAAGAGAGAAGTGGTGTTATTGGTGAGGGTACGGAGGTGGGTTTTGATGGGTTGATGAAGGTGGGGCCAGATACTGAAAGCTGGGAGACTTTCGTGTATAGTTCGAATCAGTCACATTTGTTTGATTCTAGAAGACACGAACCTTCACATGAATACTCAATATTACCCTCGTCGAATCAAAATGGCCTCTTGTCTGCTTCTGCCGCTCCTGGTGCCGGTTGCTCAATGACTGGTTATTCAAACAACAGGAATATAATGAGATCTAGATTTAATAGTCATAACACTTTTCATAATAATCTGACTAATAATAGTTTTAGGATGCCTCGTTGGTCACAAGATCCTTTGAATTGTTTGAGTCTAGGTGATTTGAGAGGTAGGTTTGTGGCATTAGCAAAGATCAGTATGGTTGTAGGTTTTTACAACAGGCCATTCAAGAAGCTTCAAAAGTGGAAATTGAAATGATTTTCATGGAGGTCATCGGTCATGTTTGTAAGTTGATGTTGGACCCTTTTGCCAACTATGTCGTTCAAAAAGTTCTGGACGTTTGTAGCGAGGAACAAAAGGATCACATTCTTTTGATGGTTGTTAATGATGGGTTTCGATTTGTTAACATGTGTCTCAATCTTCATGGGTATGTTTGGTTAATTAGGTTTGGTCTTCAGATGTTGTCTTGTTTCTAATATATATTTCTCCATTTGGTGGCAGGGTTCGTGCTATACAGAAATTGTTGGAGAAGCTTACTACTCCACAACAAATCTCGAGAGTAATGTCTGCTATAATCCCTAGAGCTGTTGCATTGACCAAGGATATGAATGGTCATCGTGTGATTCAGTGTTGCTTGACAAATTTCCCTGACGAAGTTAATATGGTAAACATCCAAGAGTTGGACTGGTTACAATTCAAGTTAAAGCTTCATTTTGTCTATGTACATCTTGTTTCAGTTTAATTGTTTAATTGTGCATTTGTTCTACTTGGTAATTTTGATAAATATGTTTAGTCATTGAATTAAATTGCATAGGTTACATGGTACTTCATATCTAAAACGTTTTAACAATGAAATAGATGTGTATTAACTGCTGCTTTCTCTTCCTTGTACCGCTGTTGACCAACATCTGTTTTGCACATTTGTTTATGTCCAAATCGGTTTTCATCGGCAGTATCTTCTGAACGAGGTGGCAAATAACTGTTATCAAATTGCAATAGACAAAAGTGGATGTTGTGCACTGCAGCATTGTGTTGACCACTCTAAGGGAAAGGCAAGAGAGCGTCTCGTCAAAAAGATCATAGCAAATGCTCTAAACCTAGCCGAAGATCAGTATGGGTGCGGGGTTCTCTTTTCTCACTTGTTTTGGCGTGGAACTTATGTTCAATTTGTTTGAGCTCTGATATGTGTTCCTGTGTTTTGTTCATTTTTCTCTAGTAACTACGTGGTGCAACATGTGCTGGGACTTAAAGATCAATACATAACAGAAAGTCTTCTTCATCAGCTTCAAGGAAATTTTGCATCTCTTTCCTGCAATAGGTATGGAAGCCACGTCGTCGAGAAATGCTTGGTGGAATGGGGAGAAGAGGAGTCTATGAGAATCATAAAGGAGCTGCTTAGAAGTCCTATCGTGTCTAGGCTCCTCGTCGATCCATTTGGGAACTATGTTATCCAATCAGCTTTGGCAGTGTCTGAGGTCAGATAGTTCTTTAACTCTTGTGCTTCCATCTTTGTCATTTCATGCACTTGTAAATCTATTTATGCGTAGTACAATTATATATAAATTTCTTAAGCTACTTCATTATGAGTGTAAATTCATTCATTTAATTATCAATGCTTCTATCTCATTTGTTATTCAAAGCACCTCTGTTGTGTGGAACTGGTGCAGTCATACTTGATCGAGCAGGGCCATGTTTACAATGATTTGCTGAATCTGGTCTGGAAAAACTATCCGATGATGCGCAGCCATGTTTATGGAAAATGGGTGCTTGTCTGGCTCAGCAGGCTCAGCAAGAGGAAGATGCTAAGCATGTAACCATATAGAATTACACAAGTATAGACGTTACGAGATTGTCCAAATAAGAGAATTTCACTAGGAATATATCAATACAAGAGTAGAAATAGAATTTTGTGTACCGAGTTTACAACTCGTCTGATCCGTCCTGGTGTGGGATTATTGTGGGTGTTTGTACTTGTCTAGTCTTGTTAGTTGTCTAATTAACTCTTGAGGAATGCTACAGTTAGATGTGATCTTTATAGCCATGGCCATGGACATTACGTAGTTGGATTAAAAGGCTAATATGATAAGCAACAATCATTCTTCTATGA